ACGTTAAGTACTCAGTTCTCTGCTTGTTATGCCGTTACAAGCTTCAAAGTTGTATTTATCATCTGAATTTTGCCGAAACAAGTTTAATATTCTGAAAGCCAAGAATTTGCTTATTTGAAATCAGATAAAAACAAACTGTAACAGACCCTGCCGTGTTATCTATGATTACTATAAACCTTACATTCATAATTTCAGCAGGAGGGAGGGGGAGCGGCGCTGAGGAACAGCAGAGTGGCGAGTGAGAGCAGGCATCTTCCCTTTACAAGCTTCAAACATGCCTGTAGTGTCACGATTCTCATGTTATGTCACGTTTATAGTTTTGTAGGTTTGGGTGTTTTTGCTGTTTTCCATGTCATGTTTTCCTTTGGGTTATTGTCTGGTCCTTTTCCCTGTGTTTTCCTCTTGTCATTAGTTTCCCTGGTGTGTCTAATTGTCTGATTATGTTCACCTGGGCCCCTGTGTTTTCTCCTCCCTCCTCACCTGTGTCTTGTTGTGTGATTCAGTCTTGTGTGTATTTAAGTTCTGGGTTGTCTGTCTGTCTTGGTCGGTTCGTCTTGTTCCCTGACTAGTTCTGCGGTGAGTGTTCTGTTTTGTCATTGTGTATATATATCATAGCCTTGAAATAAAGGGATTTTCAGTTTATATCTGCATTTGGGTCCTGCTTGTTTCACAAACCGTGACATGTAGCTAGTGAGATTGAATATAACTATCAAAAATAACAAAATATACACAGCTAGATCAGATCGCGTTTTAGATGTGACTTTAGGGGAATTATTGAAAAGGGATTTGTACAGTTTTCCGCGGCATCTGCTGCTGCGAAAATGTGGGGCAGGGCTGAAAAGTGGGGGGGCCAATGGCCCCCTGGCCCCCCCGCTTCCGGCGCCCTTGCTGCTAGTTCAGTGAGTTTGGTCGTACAGTGATGAGACTTATACCAGTGGAACCTCAGCTTTCATATGATATCTCGTTTGTGCAGATAGCATGAAGTAGAAAAGATCACTTTTGCCAGTTATGTGCTTATGTAGCGTTAGCTTGTTTTCCGTTTAGACGATTTAGACGCTTGGTGTGGAATGTGTTCCGTTTAGGTAAAAATTGTTAATATCGTCTGTTAGCTGAGTTTCTTCCTGTTAAGTGGGTATGCATCAAATATAGGTTGTTAAATGTTAAGATGTCCTGAGACGCTGTTTCTTGCAAGATGTTGCGTCTACTGGGGGCCAACAGGTCTTGGCTTTGCTACACATTACTCTTGATAATATTGCATATAAATGTAGTGTATGAATACATTTAATACACGTATATCCTTGCGTTTCGGCGTTACCTTGGCAGCCATGTTGGCCGGTGTCATCCTGTGTCTCTGCGCGTCCTCAGGCTGTGTAGGTGTGGCGTATCCCTGGGGGACCGGCGACATCTCGTTCTCCCTCAGTCTATCAAGCGGTTCCTTTCTTCTCTGAACTACCGCTGCCGCCCCCGCATGCTCGTACTGACCTGCTTTGGACCAATCCTGAAGAGGTGAGTCAAATTTAAGAAACAGGAAGTAGTAGGTAGGGTTAGCACGAGAGACTTGTCCACTATCCAGCAGTTTGAAGCCCTTCATCTGAGTGCAGAGAGAGGGGGCCTTTACGGGTGGATTGTGTGGGAGTGCTTGGAAGAGTGTGTGTGCGTGGGTGCATGTGGGCAGGGGGCTTTTTGAGTATTTCCGTGTTTTTATCTTGATGAGTTGGAATGGCCAGCTTTCAACACCCTGTTTAGTTTTGGAAAATCTCCAGATCCCAGATTGCAAAACCATTGACAGGGGAGGCCAAAAAAAAAGTACACACAAGAAGTTGGGATGAACACAGGAAGCAAAGCAATGTGGTTACGAATTAGTTAAAAAGGTGATGAAAGTGAAAATAAAAGGCATTAACTGAAACGTATGAATCAGAAACAGAAAAAATAGTGCAACTGAAAAAATGGAAGCGAATGGAGAACAAACCTTCCACATCGGAACCTTTGATGTGGGAGAGGAGGAGCTGGATCCGGGGGGGCAACTATAGGGTGGGGACGAGGCAGGAAGAATGACAGAGAGTGGCCTGGGGGAGCCAGAGTGAGAGAGAGCAGGGCGGAAGGTAGCGAAGGACGTGCCAAACTGCGGGATGAGAGACATAGTCACATCATCAGAGAGAAACAGAGACAGAGTTGGCCAGCTGTGGTGGACGATCGCTGGGCCAATCACAGGAGAATAAAAGCATCATACACACATCTACTCTACAGTAGCCTCACACACCAAGTAAGAAACATAAGATCAGGGACGCGTCTATCTTTTTTTCAACCCAGTTTAGATTCGACCACGCCCACTTCCGCATCGACCTAGCTCTTTCTCATGTTTAATTTATAGCCCATGTGTAGAATTAGGTTTTTAAGTTTAGTCATGTCTCATTGTTCACTCTTTAAGTTAGAGTCACTTATGTCTAGTCTTGTTTTGCTCTCTGTCATTGTGCTTCCTGTTTTATATTGTACTTGCCTTTCCTTCTCGTTTCAGAGCCTTTGACTTTCTGCCATTGTGTGATTTCCCACCATTGAGATTGTCAACCCCACACATGATTGTTGCCACCTGAGTCCCATTACCTTTTGTATATAAAATCCTCATCTCCCTTTGTCCTGTGCCAATTTGTCTTCTTTCAATGTGTAGTCAAGAGAGCCAGCGTTTGAAGCCAAGAACCCTTGTTGTTATTTCACATTGTCAAGTTTATTTAGTCCTAAGTTTTGGCAGTTTGCTTTTGCTACGTTTTGCCTCTAAAATAGTTATTTTTTGTTGTACTACACTTTAGATTTGTTCCCTTTTTCTTGAATCATGCATTTGAGTATTTGTGTCACGTTCCTAACATGTCCCTATCTGAACAACTTATATCACTTTGACCCTAGCTTGGGAAAGATGCAACTGGCATTGCAGTCACTCCAAGCGCAAGCCATGCTGCAAAACGCTTAAAAATATGCTGTGGGCCTATGAAGTAACTGTAGCTGCCAAATTCATATTTTGGTGGATGGAAACGCAAAGGGTGACACTGCTTCAATGTTTTTGCCATACGGAAGTGGCCGTGTTCAAATATAAACTGGGTTGGAAATCAAGACGCAGTTATTATATTTAGAATAGAAAATACAATTAGTGTCAAAAGTGCGTCAAAAGGACTAATGATTTCTAAAAAGCCTACATTTTTGTATCTGCTGTATACATCTGTTAGAAAGACAATGGGATGTGTTAGAGTGAATTGAAGTGTATTTGATTGTTTTTGCAACATCTGCAAGGTGGTTGTGCAAGGTTACCAGTGTATGTGGTGAGTGCAATCAATCTAGATTCTAGACAATGCATGTTAATCAAATTGTAGATGTATCACACACTGACTGCCATCAGATGGTAGTAAACAGTGTTAATCAACTGAAAGGGAACACAGACATACAGTATATGCAGGCTGTTGTTGATGGCAGATCCTGCTTAAAATCCGACATGAAAATGTACTTTGCCTCGCGTGCATCTTTGGAATTGTATTTATGTTGCTAACAGATGTGCATGCTGGTCAAAGAATGTATAATGAAAGGGAAGGAGACAAGCTCTCAAGCATGAATACAATTAATCTGTTATATTCAAGATGTTTATGTGGGTGTGATTGCACCAACTAAAGTGGTGAATACAAGACAAAATACAATCCATGCATACTTTGCTGTTGATCTGAACCAAATCAGTTAGCAAGGGATAATGCTAGATGCTGCAAATCATTAACCAGAATTGTAGTAAAGTCATGAAGGTGTCCATTAACCAGAAATAAGTTAGCATTTTACCACTTCCAATTCCCTTGTCTTGAAGTCTACGGTTGCTAACAAGCAGCTGAATGAGACTATTAAATATCATCACGCCACCATTAGCCACCATTAGCTGCCATTAGCCGCCATTAGCCGCCATTAGCTTAGCATTGTTTATGGTCTAACGTTAGCTTTTTACTTCTAGCGAATGAATTTCCACTTCAAAAATAATAAAAGTTGTATTTTTATGTGGAGATTGTCCTGATGAACAAAACTTCTTGGTCGAACAAATGTTTGTTTGTCACTGATCACATATTCTGCCATTTTGTGGTGATTTTTTTGGAATGCTAACTTCTTGGTGCATCACTGCATCTCTACTGCACTAAATCAGCCAGTAACTTCATAATAATAATAATACATTTTATTTTGAGGCGCCTTTCAAAGCACACAAGGACACCTCATAATTCATAAAATATCCTTGAAAGGAAACATCTTCTTCCAATGCAGCAAGCCAGCAACATACAGTGCTAATAGTAATCATTTGTGCTTAGGAAGATATGAAAATATATTCCTAAAAAAATCCAGTTCAACCTAATTTCTGCAAGAAAGCCTTTATTCAACAAAAACCTCACATGTGAGATTGAATTTTACTCGTCCTCTCGTAGTATGGTGTTTGATTCGATGTTGTTTGATATTGTACCACCAAAATGCCTTCTCTGCTGGAGAGTCTATTTAGCCCACAGAGAGCAACTACTACTGCAGGTTTGCCTGATCATCCAGATGTCAAAGTCTCCCACTGTTTTAAAAAATCCATTAAACTCTTAAATAAAACTCCCGCTACCGTGGTGAATGCAACTCATAATTTCAAACAGCATGTGTTGTATAATTATGTTCTGAAATGGCTTTATAACTATAACTACTACAATTATTATTATTATATATATATTTTTTTATGATTATCACTGCCACCGTAAAAAAAAGTTGTTGTTGAAGAAAGTTACAACTTCAAGCTGTTGGATTTATGATACCACTAAGAGACATATTTGCAAACTTTTTTGCTGAACAGATGGCAGTGTCCTCTGACATGCATACATCACAGCTTCAACACGCTGTGGATGGAGGGTGTAACAGATTAAATTGTCTAATCACAACTAATTCATCTAACTGTGATGCCAGTGTATTGGAGGCAGTTCACAGATAGATGAACACACCAATAACTCTTTTAATGTTCAAACAATGTAATTAAACATAAGGGGTAAAATAATTTAAGGGATGTTTTAGTTTTTGTTATGAAAAACACAAATGTAAAGCTCTGATTACAAGGATAAATTGATAACAAAATTACCGATTTTATTCTATTTCTGCCATACTTAAATCACTTTCATTTGGATTGAGTGTTACACTGATGACTGCCTATTGTACAGTTTGAATGGGAGTACTCACGGTAGTGGGGGAGCTGCATTCACTGACTGATTGGCACGTTTCTGAGGCCTCTGACGATGCTGAGCTGGACGACTTCTACCGCAAAAAAGCAGAAAACATATGAATGATTTGCCAAGACTCAGTGAGTCAGTGTGAGCGTTGCATCTGTGAAGCCTGAATATATATGTTTTTCCCAAATGCCAGTTAGGTCAGATAATTCCGGTAGATTTCCAAAATAAGTCCATTATAGAAAGTTAAATCCTGATGTTTTTATGCTATTCCAATGACTGAACCCCAACATTTTATGAGGAACTCCCCCAGGAGGGAACTTTGGGATTTTAGCCTTAGCAGACCATTTACATGCAAAAAACCTATACAGTATAACACACTACAGGGAAGGGAAAACCCCAAAAAGCAAAACAGATCATTTGTTTCTAATGTCTGCAACCTGATATCCTGCTTTGTCTTTGTATGATTGTGTGGAAGTATATTGAAGACAAGGCATTTTAAGATAGCACACATTTTTTTTTAGTATTATGTGTGTATTTTGGCTTACCTGGCTAGTGATGTCCGAGGGCATGGGTGAGGGGGGCTTGGAGTAGATGTTTGCATCCTGGGACACGAATCCCGAGTCGTGGGAGGAGACGCTGCTGAGGCGGTGTGCCGCTATGCCCCCCGGTGGTGGGGGTTGATGCGGCAGGTTGCTGCGGTAGCGATAGGAGGAGGAGGAAGAGGATGAGGTGGGTGAGTGGGGCTGGGAGCCTCCACCAAAACCACCACCACCGCCTCCCCCTGATGAACGGGAGGCACTACTGTGGGCGCTGTTGACGCTGCTGCAGTGGGAGTTGGGAGGGTAAGGTGCAGAGGAGGGTGGATTGAGGGAAGGGTGAAGAGTGTGAGGGGAGGATGTAAGGAAGGTGATGGGTGCCATTGTGCAGTGAGGACAGTATTTAGTGGAGAGCATGATTAAAGTGATGGTTTAGGAAGGGTTTGGTTATTGGGAAAGATGATCAATTTGTGATAGGAGGATTTTGTGGTGGTGGTTGATAGGTGAAGTTGAGGAGTAGTCGTTGATTTAGAATGTTAGCGATGAGATGGCAAATTCAAGTCAGTCACAGTAAAAAGCAGAGACCCCAGAAAAGAAAGGAAACCAGGGATCCAAGAGAAAGAGGGCAGATAACACGAGTGCACACAGACAAATGACAAAAATAGAAAAAAGGGAGAAAAATACAGTACAAGTACAGTCAGCGAGTGATGGTTATAGTGAGGGGAAAGGGGGGAGAGAAAGGGCGAGAGGGGTGGGAGAGATAGTGTGTAAGCTCATGAGGATCTAGGGAAAACACACACACACACACTGCAGGCAAAAGGCTGTGAACTTGCATGCTTCTGAGCTTTGCCTGCGACTACATGCATAAACTGACAGAGAGACGAATACAGTGATGTTTTCAGACAAAGGACTACAGAAACACATTGCTTAGTTTACAGTACTCTTCTCGTATTATTCATTTTGAATTGTGAATTTGCACACATTTTAACCACTATGAAAAGCAGATGTGCGCATATTCTGATGATATCTGCTATTTGTGGCAAATTAAATATAATTTGTCCACTTTTTAGGAGATTATTTCTGTGTCTGAAGGTGGTTTGTGGTTTTTGTAGAATTCCATTAAGAGTGATGATAACTGGACACACAGTAATCATGTACTGACACATAGACAATAGCACAGTAAAACACAAACAGGGAGGCTCCTCTTTCTTTACAAAAAAGTATTGTTGGTAGTGTATGTGTGTACTGTGTACATATGTATGTTTGTGTGAGTACCTGCACATGCTGCTCTTGCGGGAGCAGGAGCTGCTGGGGGATGAGGGAGGGGTCTGATAGGACCAGCTGTAATCCGACCCCTTAAGGTCCTTTATCACCTGAGAGAGAGAGAGAGAGAGAGAGAGAGAGAGAGAGAGAGAGAGAGAGAGAGAACTAGTTTCTTTCCTTTCAGCACGCACGTGTGTTTGTTTGTGTGTCTGTGTGTGTGTTACCTGTTCACTCGCTGGCGGCAGTTTGTGAGGATCAGTTGTCAGCACAGTGAGGTCATCAATGATGGCCTGGAGGTGTGTGATCTCTCCCAGCATGGCAATCTCTCCATTCTACAAAACATGATTGAAACATGCACTGCGCTTTTAAAGTAAAAAAAACACTCATGAGCTCAAGGAAGAACACAAAGGAAAATTCAAAAGGAATTTGGTAGAAACCACAGTGCAACTTTGATGCATCATCATTTAATTGACCGTGATGTTTTTGGCCACAATCCTTGTGAAAGGTGTGAAAATGTGTAACTGTCACATCCACTGTTACCATGGGAGACTAACACACACTTGTGTGAGATAAATTGCAGTATGTTGTGAATATGAGTGAAGTGTAACTTTTAGTATTTCTGGATCAAGCCTCATTTACTTTGAGCAAGGCACTCAACCCCAATCTCTCTCTGCTGCTCAGCAACTATTAAGGTCCTACACACCGAGACGATTTTCGGCATTGATAGATGTCGGGCCGTTGATGAGCGTTCTGTCGCCCTACTCAGATTGGTGTGTACTGCACCGTCGTGTCTTTTCGGCCGTGCTGACACCTTCC